GTGAGAGTGAACTCATACCCAGGTGAGAGTGAGGCCATACCCAGGTGAGAGTGAGTTCTGTGCCCAGGTGAGAGTGAGCTCTGTGCGCAGGTGAGAGTGAGCTATGTGCCCAGGTGAGAGTGAGATCTGTGCCCAGGTGAGAGTGAGTTCATACCCCGTCACTGCCTCGCCGTCACTGCCTCACCGTCCCCACTCTCACCGTCCCCACTCTCGCCGTCCCCGCTCTCGCCGTCCCCGCTCTCGTCGTGCCCGCTCTCGCCGTCCCCGCTCTCACCGTCCCCACTCTCGCCGTCCCCACTCTCGTCGTCCCCGCTCTCACCGTCCCCGCTCTCGCCGTCCCCGCTCTCACCACCCACATTGCTACAGGACATGACCCACGTGTTTAGCTCCCGCCACATGACCCGACTCCTTCCCGACTCCTTCAGTAGGTAATTAACGGGCTGTGGGTTGGCAGGGGGATAGAATCACTGCAGAGACGAGAAGAAGAAAAAAGAAAGGAAAACGAACTAGATGTGACGAGCCGAGTGGAGCTCCAAATGGAACGACTTACCCTGCTGCCATCTTACTTGGTGATAATGATCCCTGTCTGGGTGAGGGTTTTTAGGTTTGGAGCATTGTTATGAGCTAATGGTTATTGAGGTGCTTTCCCAGAGTGTGTTCTAAACAAGGGTCACTGGACCCAAAACGTTAACTCAGTTTCTTTCTCCAAAGACGTTACCATATCTGCTGAATTTCTCCACCGTTCTATGTGTTTGTGTCAGATTGGGCACTGGGGTCCTGATGCGGAGACCCTGGGGGGGGTGGGGGGGGGTGTGTTCTCATCACTGCTGTGACTATTAATAGAGTTTGTGCTGACATACGGCTCAGAAACAGGCCCTTCAGCCCAACTCGTCCATGCTGACCATATATCCTAAACTGAACTAGTCCCATTTGCCAGCATTTGGCCCATATCCCTCTAAACCTTTCCTGTTCACATACCCATCCAGGTGCCTTTTAAATGTTGTAATTGTACCAAACTCCACCCACTTCCTGTGGCAGTTCATTCCATACACGCACCACCCTCTGTGTGAAAAAGTTGCCCCTTAGGTCCCTTTTAAATCTTACATCTCTCACCTTAAACCTATGCCCTGTAGACTTCCCTACCCTAGGGAAAAGACCTTGGGTATTCACTGTATCCGTGCCCTTCATGCTTTTATAAACCTCTACAAGGTCACCCCTCGACCTCTTACATTCCAGGGAGAATAGTCCCAGCCTATCCAGCCTCTCCTTGTTACTCAAACCCTCCAGTCCCTCCAAAAGCTTGAAGAGATTCAGGATTCCAGTAATGGTCTGGAATGTTGCAGCTGCCTGCTTGTCTGCGTGTGTCTGCCTGTTATGATGCAGAGCAGGTGATAAAATCAGGTATTCAGGACAGACGCATCAGATTCTGACAGGGCAGTGCCCATCCTGTAGTGTAGGGGGCCTTGTAGCCCAACTGAGATGGGAGCCTGTTGTATGCAGCTGGGCTGACAGCTCAGTGACCAGTCACCTTCCCACCGGAGACCCTATGCTTTCCCTTCGCTAATCATCTGGTTTTCTTTCCTGCTCCCCCCAAACATTGTAGATCTTTCCGCAGGATCTAACGGAGACAGCGTTTGCGGAGATGCTCATCATGATCTTGAGGACTGTTGATTACGATGTGAAGGAGGGTATTGTGAAAGCCCTGGTGTTCCTGCTGCAGTCCCAGCCCTCCAATGTCACCACAATGGCCCACGATGCCCTGATTACTGCCCTCAACGGTCCATCACCACCAGACCAGAAGGTATGACCCTGTCAGCTGGGACTTAGCAATCTCACATTCAGCTACAATCCAATCAGATTCACATCTGTCATGGGGGTCGTGTGAGAAACGCCAGTTAAACAGGCTGTATTTTGAAACACTCAAGCGAATAATCAGTAAGGTAAGGGGAATGATGTGAATGATGTTCAACCAAGAGCTTCCTTGAAGGAATAATAGGTGCCGTGGATAAAGAGGACCCTGTAGACATACTGTACCTGGATTTCCAGAAGGAATTTGATCAGCTGCTGCATTAGAGTTCATTGTGGAAAATAGAAACTCATAGTGGCACGGAGATAAGATTGGCTGGTCAACAGAGAACAGGGTCTGTAGATCGATAGGTCTTTGTCTGACTGACAATGTGGCGAATTCAGTCTTGCAGGGCTCTCAACCTTTTGCAAATCTATCAGTGTCATAAGTTACATGACACCAGGTTACAGTCCAACAGCTTTATTTGAAATCATAAGCTTTCAGAGCACTGCCCCTTCGTCAGGTGAAATGAAGGGAGCAGCGTTCCGAAAGCTTGTGTTTTCAAATAAACCTGTTGGACTGTAACCAGGTGTCGTGTGATTTCTGACTTTGTCTACCCCAGTCCAACACTGCCACCTCCCACATCACAATTATATCAATGACTTAGATGAGGTGAATGAAAGTGTAAATTCTCAGGTGATACTGAGCAGGGTAGGGAGATGTGTTGTGAAGAAAATATCAGGAAACTGCAGATGGATATAGATAGACTTAGTCAATGACTAATAATCTGGCAGGTGGAGTATAATGTGGGAAAATGTGAGGTTCTGTCGTTTGATAGGAAGATTGATAAAGCAGTGTGTCACTTAAACAGAGAGCGACTGCAGAATTCCAAAACACAGAGGGATGGAAGCGTTTGTGTGAGAGGTACTGCCCAGAATGAAAAGGCTAATGGGAGGCTCTCCTTTACTACCAGAGGAATTGAACAGATAAACAGGGCATTTCAGTAATACAGGGCATTGTTCAGACCACATCTCAAATACCGTGTCTTGGTCCCCTTATTTAAGGAAGGATGTAAATGTATTGGAGACGGGTCAGAGGAGATTTACAGGGTGATAGCTGGAATGAGTGGGTTGCCTTATGAGGAAAGGTGGGACAGACAGGTCTTGGAGTTTAGAGTGAGGATTGACTAGGTCGAAGTGTAAGAACCTGAATAGCCTTGACAAGGTGAAAGTGGAAAGGATGTTTTTCCTTATGGGTGAGTTGAGAACTGGGGGCACTGTTTTAAATTTATGGTTCGCCCTAACGAGGGAATATTTTCTCCCGAGTTATTGTGTTACTTTGGAATGCTCTGCAGTGGGGGAGGGATCATTAAATATCTTTAAGGTGGAGGTGAATAGATTCCTGTTTGGGAGGAGGATCAAATGTTAGAGGGAGTGGGAGATGTGAATGTGGGATTGGAAACATAAACAGATCAGCCATCATCTTATTGAATGGTGGTGCTGAGTGGCCTCATCCTGCTTCGAACCAGAGAAAATAATCAAAGCTTAAAGTTCTTTATCTGAGTACACGCAACGTTTGTACCAGGATCAATGTGGTACGGATAGAAATAAGTGAATATGACTTGACGTCCATTCACAGAGACATGGTTACAGCTGACCAGCACTGGGAGCTTCATATTCCAGCAGTAATCAACATTCCAGGAGAAAAGTTTAAAAGGAAAGGGAGGTGAGTTAGTGTTGTTAATAAACCGGCGCAGGGGTGATCAGTAATATTCATGCAATAGATTGTGATATGGAATCAGTTTGGCTGGAAATAAGGGAACAGGAAAGGAAAGAACTGATGGGTGGGAGTCGTCTATAGATCCCTGAAGAATTGTCAGTTTACCCACTTTGTAAACTGACACAGATGCAATGAGCTGACAGACCTTTTTCTGGCGATGGATCTCTATAACTAGTGGGGGAGTCTCAAACTAGTCACATAATAAGTGGAGACTCATTTAAAATGGAGACCCTTCGGTCCAACCAGTCTGTGCTGACCATAATATCAAACTAAACTAGTCGCACCTGCCTGCTCCTGGCCCCTATCCCTCCAAACCTTTCCTATTCATGTACTTTTCCAAATGTCTTTTAAACATTGTAATTGTACCCATAATTGTGTACGAGCCACCCTCTGTGTAAAACATTTGTCCCTCATGTCATTTGTAAATCTCTCTAGTGTCACCTTAAAATTGTGTCCCCTAGTCTTGAAATCCCCCAGCCTAAGGAAAAAGAAACAACTACCGTTAATGAATGAATAACTGGAATTCTCTACCACAGATAGTTAGAACCATACAATACAGAGGAAGCTCTTTGCGCATCAGGCCTTTACCAGCAAAGCTACTCTAGCACCACCTTTCGGCACTGGGCCCACAGCCTTGCATGTTATCCCATTTCAATGTTCATCTGAGTACTTTTTAAAGGTTGTGAGGTTTCTCATTTCAACTGCCCTCCCAGGCACTGCATTGCAGAAAAATCAAATTCTACCACCCATCACAGCAGGATTCAAACCTGGGTCCCCAGAACATTCCCTGGGTTAATAGTCTAACGATAATACCACCAGGCCATTGCCTGCCCTAGTCAGTGTTGTGTGGTCCTCATGGATCATGAAAAGATTTCATTTGGCAGACACTGAAGAGAATACTTGTCCATCTTCCATTTGTTTGTGATTACTCTTTTCAGTCAGACACTCGCAGTCAAAGTGGAATACACTCTAGGAACGGATTGCATTGTCTTTTTGTCTCTGAGAGTTCCTGGCTTTTTGATGAACATTTTATAAGCCATATTTTGCTGATGTCAGCTGTCCTCAGTAAGTCTTTATACGATATCTACTCTCATATCCTTTCAGATTCTAAATAAAAACCGAAAGAATTGCGGATGCTGTAAATCAGGAACAAAAACAGAAGTTGCTGGAAAAGCTCAGCAGGTCTGGCAGCATCTGTGAAGAGAAAAAATCAGAGTTAACTGAGCTGCGTTCTGAGGAAGGGTCACCAGATCTGAAACGTTAACTCTGATGTTTCTCGTCATGGATGCTGCCAGGCCTGCTGAGCTTTTCCAGCAACTTCTGTTTTTGTTCCTTCCAGAGTCTGTTCGCGTAAACAGGAATATTTATTTATATCATAGATAGTCTACTCAAACAACAAAGTGGCTGGAAAAGCTCAGCAGGTCTGGCAGCATCTGTGAAGAGAAAATTAAAGTTAATGTTTCGGGTCCGGTGACCCTTCCTCAGAAGCTTTTCCAGCAATTTCAGTTTTTGTTCCTCATTTACAGCATCCACAGTTCTTTTGGTTTTTGTTTGGTCTTGATTTAACTTTTCTGGAATCCTTTGAGGAACAGACTTGACTGATTGCATTTTCACACTGTCCTTGAGTAAGTGGACTCCTACCTGTGCTGATTACACTAACCACTAAAGTTAAACATGAATCACTCTCAATTAGCTTCATTCCTGTTAACTGTATTTAGCTCTGGTCTAACAAACAGGCTTTTAAAACCAGACCTTTCCTGACAGTGTGTCATTCTACTGATACTTCGAATAGTCAAGCTGGAACATAGAACATAGAACATAGAACATTACAGCGCAGTACAGGCCCCTCGGCCCTCGATGTTGCGCCGACCTGTGAAACCAATCTGAAGCCCATCTAACCTAAACTATTCCATTATCATCCATATGTTTATCCAATGACCATTTAAATGCCCTTAAATTTGGCGAGTCTACTATTTTTGCAGGCAGGGCATTCCACGCCCTTACTACTCTCTGAGTAAAGAACCTACCTCTGACATCTGTCCTATATCTATCACCCCTCAATTTAAAGCTGTGTCCCCTCGTGCTAGCCATCACCATCCGAGGAAAAAGGCTCCCACTGTCCACCTTATCTAATCCTCTGATCATCTTGTATGTCTCTGTCAATCACCTCTTAACCTTCTTCTCTCTAACGAAAACAGCCTCAAGTCCCTCAGCCTTTCCTCATAAGACCTTCCCTCCATACCAGGCAACATCCTGGTAAATCTCCTCTGCACCCTTTCCAATGCTTTGCTGAAAAAGACACATGTTGGTGAAACTTTTTGTCTTGCACTCATCAGGACACTTCACAAGAATACCAATACACAGGCAGAAACAAAGTGAGAGGATAATGCTGATCGGCTGACAAGTAGATTCTAGTTGGTGGAGGCATTGCCATGGAGAATGCACCAATGAATGATGATTGACAATCAACTGCGTAGCTTTGTTTAAATGTTAAGTCAAACAGATTGATTCTGATTGGACAGGGCATAGCTCTGAGAAATGAACTAGTGAATGGCTATCACCTGTTGAGTTGAAACAGGCGCAGTGTGTGTACATGTTTGTTCTGCTCTTAGAGAACACAGCCCTGTGTACTGAGGTATGGAGCTCCCAGGCCACACTGTATGCCCGATTCGACAATTTTAAATTGGTCATCAGCCGCCAGGGTGAGATGAAGAGGGAGTGTGAGGGGGAAACAGCAATGTGGTTTAGTAGGACTGAACTGCCTCTTTCTGTGTAAAGAAAGAGTGGCATTAGTGAAACCCATTACCTTAGGGTGAGAGCAGAGATTGATCCGAGACCAGGGGGATGGGCAGGGGGGAGAGGGGAGGGGTGATGCTGAAACAGTAACCCACATTCTCTCTCTCTCACTCTCTCATTCTCTCTCTCTGTATCTCTCTCACTCACTCTCTCATACTCTATCTCATTCTCTCTCACTCACTCTCTCACATTCTCTCTCTCTTTTTCACTCACTGTCTCACTATTTCACTCACTCTTTCTCTCTCTCACATTCTCTCTCTCTTACTCTCTCTCACTCTTTCACTGTCTCTCACACTCACTCACACTTTCTCACATTCTCTCTCTGTCTCTCTCTGTCTCTCTCACACCCACTCTCTCTCTCTCACTCACTGTCACCCTCACTCTCTCTCACTCTCCAACACACTCTGTCTCATACACTCTCACATTCTCACTCACTCTTTCTGTCTCTGTCACACTCAATCTCTCTCTCTCATTCACTGTCTCTCTCATTTTCTCTCTCACTTTCTCACTCTCACTCTCATTCTCACTCTCCCTCACTTCTCTCTCTAGAGGTTCCCTGAGACCATCAGTGTTTCTGGATTTAAGTTTCAGCTTATCAGTACCTGCAGCATTTTATTTCTTTTTCCTTCACAGGATGTTTTTGTGGCAGTGCCTGTAATAATTTTCTTTTTGTTTGTAGATCCAACCACAAGAAAATTTTATCCGTGCTGCCCTGTGGGCTCTGAAGGAGTTAACACCGAACAGCCTAGAGCTGCTGGTGGAGTTAATGGTTCAGTACCTTCAGTCAGACATTATGCTCAGGTTTGTAACCTCACAACAAATGGAAGGGGAAATGTTACATCTATTCACATGGTTTGGTTGTACAGACCTTGAATATTGATCGAAGGGAGACACCGTTGCACCTTTTCATCCTTCACCAGGATTAAATCACAAGAATACCAAATCTCCATTTATACCGCTGCCTCAGCCAATCGCAGTTGTCTTACCAGCCAATCGCAGTTGTCTTACCAGCCAATCAGCACCCTTTTCACCTGCAGCATAAATTGTTGTGATTGTTTGAAATCTGGTATTCTTGCTATCAATCCTGATGTGTGCGTAGCTGAGGAGCTTTGGCAACATGCCTCTCTTTTTAGCAATATGTTTATTAATTGTTCTGAATTTGTCATTAGCCAAAACCAGAAATCACGTGACACCACGTTACAGTCCAACAGGTTTATTTGAAATCACAAACTTTCGGAGCGCTGCTCCTTCATCAGGTAACGTGTCACTTGGTCTATAACCTGGTGTCATGTGACTTATGACTTTGTCCATCCCAGTCCAACACCACCATCGCCACATTATTAGTAAAACCAGCATTTATTATCCATCCTTAATGAATTGTGAGGTGGTGGAGGGAGTGAATGTTTATGGATGTGGTGCTGATCAAGCGGGCTGCTTTCTCTTGGATGATGTCAAGCTTCTTGAGTGTTGTTGGGGCTACACCCATCCAGGCAAGTGGGGAGTATTCCATCACACTCCTGACTTGTCAGAACTTAACAAACAAATGTAGGCCACTTGGCCCTTTGAGCCTGCTCCACCATCCAACAGGATCGTGGCTGATCAGACTTTCCTCATGTCCCCTTTCCTGCCCTTTCCCCCTAACCCTTGATTCCCAAGCTAATCAACAATCTATCTCAACTTGAAATATTCTCAAAGACTCTGCCCCCACAGCTCTCTGTGGTAAGGAGTTTCAAAGACTCACAACCCTCTGGGAGAAGAAATTTCTCCCCATCCCAGTCTTCAATTGGTGCCCCTTTACTCTGAGACTGTGCCCTCTGTTCCTAGACTCTCCCATGGGGGGAAACATCCTCTCAGCATTGACCCTGTCAAGCCCCTTAAGAATCCGCTATGTTTCAATGAGATAATCTCTCATTCTTCTAAACTCCAGTGAGTAGAGTCCCAACCTGTTTAGATTTGGCTCATAATACAATCCCCTCATACCAGGGATCATCAGAGTGAACCTTCTCTGAGCTGCCCCCAGTGAAACAATATCTTTCCTTAGATAAGTGGGCCATAACTGCTCACGGTGCTCCAGATGCGGTCTCACCAGCACCTTGTACAGCTGCAGTAAGACGTCCCGAATCTTAAATCCCAACCCCACTGAAATAAGGGCCAATATTCCATGAGCCTTCCTGACTACCTGCTGCACTGTGTGTGCTAGCTTTCTGTGTTTCGTGCACAATTCCCCCCCACCCACCCAATTCCTGCTGTGTTGCTGCTTCCTGTAATTTTTCTCCATTTAAACAATACTCTATCAATATCTCTCTGTAAACTGTTTGTATCCCTCTCTTTATAACCTTTTCATGCCAATTGCAATTTTAGCGACAATGCCTTTCTCCAAGTCATTAGTATTTATTGTAAACAGTTGTGGTCCCAGCACTGATCCCTGTGGAACTCCACTGGTTATAGGTTACCAACCTGAAAAACAACCCCTTATCCCCAGTCACTGTTTCCTGCCCATGAGCCAATTCTTTATCCACATAAATATACTACCCCAACACCATGGTATTATCGCTAGATTATTAATCCAGAGACCTAACCAATGTTCTGGGGACCTGGGTTCGAATCTCACCATGGCAGATAGTGGAATTCATTAACTGGAAAAAGTCTGGAATTAAGAATCTACTGACCACCATGAAATCATTGCCGATTGTTAGAAAAACCCATCTGGTTCACTAATGTCCTTCAGGGAAGGAAACTGCTATCCTTACCTGGTCTGGCCTACATGTGACTCCAGACCCACAGCAATGTGGTTGACTCTCAACTGCCCTCTGAAATGGCCTAGCAAGCCATTCAGTTGTACCAATCACCTCAAAGTCTCAAAGAAATGAAGCCGGTCGGATCACCTGGCATCGACCTGGGCACTGGAAAAGACAACGGCAGAAACAGCCCTGTCGACCCTGCAAGGTCTTCCCCACTAACATCTGGGGGTTAGTGCCAAAGTTGGGAGAGCTGTCTCACAGACTAGTCAAGTAACAGCCTGACACAGTCATACTCACAGAGTCATACCTTACAGACAATGTCCCACACACCACCATCACCATCCCTGGATATGACCTGTCCCACTGGCAGGACAGACCCAGCAGAGGGGGCGGCACATGGGATACAGTCTGGAGGGAGTTACTCTGGGAGTCCTCAACATTGATTCCGGACCCCATGAAATCTCATGGCTTCAGGTTAAACACGGGCAAGGAAACCTCCTGCTGATTACCACGTACCGTCCTCCCTCAGCTGGTGAATCGGTACTCCTTCATGTTGAGCAACACTTGGAGGAAGCACTGAGGATGGCAAGGGCACAAAATGTACTCTGGGTAGGGGATTTCAATGTCCACCACCAAGAGTGGCTCGGCAGCAGTACTACTGATCGAGCTGGTCGGGTCCTAAAGGACGTAGCTGCTAGACTGGGTCTGCGGCAGGTGGTGAGGGAACCAACAAGAGGGAAAAACATACTTGATCTCATCCTTACTAATCTGCTGACTGCAGATGTATCTGTCCATGACAGTATCGGTAAGACTGACCATCGCTCTGTCCTTGTGGAGGCGAAGTCCCGACTTCACATTGAGAACAACCTCCATTGTGTTGTGTGGCATTATCACCGTGCTAAATGGGATAGACTTCGCACAGATCTAGCAACTCAAGACTGGGCATCCATGAGACGCTGTGGGCCATCAACAGCAGCAGAATTGTACTCCAGCACAATCTGTAACCTCATGGCCCGGTATATCCCCCCCTCAACCATTACCATCAAGCCAGGGGATCAACCCTGGTTCAATGGAGAGTGCAGGAGCAGCATCAGGCATACCTGAAGATGAGGTGTCAACCTGATGAAGCCACCAAACAGGAATACTTGCACGCCAAACAGCGAAAGCAGTAAGTGATAGACAGAGCTAAGTAATCCCACAACCAACGGATCAGATCTAAGCTCTGCAGTCCTGCCACACTCAGTCGTGAATGGTGGTGGACAATTAAACAACTCACTGGAGGAGGAGGCTCCACAAATATCCCCATCCTCAATGGTGGAAGAGCCCAGCACATCAGGGCAAAAGATAAGGCTGAAGTATTCACAGCGATCTTCAGCCAGAAGAGCCGAGTGGATGATCCATCTCTCCCTCCTCCTGTGGTCCCCAACATTACAGATACCAGTCTTCAGCCAATTCAATTCACTCCACGTGATATCAAGAAACGGTTGGAGACACTGGATACTGCAAAGGCTACGGGCCCTGACAATATTCCGGCAGTAGTACTGAAGACTTGTGCTCCAGAACTTGCTGCTCCCCTCGCCAAGCTGTTCCAGTACAGTTACAACACTGGGATCTAACCCGACAATATGGAAAATTGCCCAGGTATGTCCTGCACACACAAAGCAGGACAAATCAAACCCGGCTAGTTACCGCCCCATCAGTCTCCTCTCGATCATCAGTAAAGTGATGTAAGTTGTCAGTAACAGTGCTATCAAGCAGCACCTGCTCAGCAATAACCTGCTCAGTGACGCCCAGTTTGGGTTCCGCCAGGCCCACTCAGCTCCTGACCTCATTACAGCCTTGGTTCAAACATGGACAAAAGAGCTGAATTCCAGAGGTGAGGTGAGAGTGACAGCCCTTGATATCAAGGCTAAATTCGACCAAGTGTGGCATCAAGGAGCCCGAGCAAAACTGGAATCAATAGGTATCAGGGGGCAAACTTTCTGGTGGTTGGGGTCATACCTGACACATAGGAAGATGGTTGTAGCTGTTTGGGGTCAGTCATCTCCACTCCAGGGCATCTCTGCAGGAGTTCCTCAGGGTAGTGTCCTAGTCCTAACCATCTTCAGCTGCTTCACCAATGACCTTCCCTCCATCATAAGGTCAGAAATGGGGATGTTCGCCGATGATTGCACAATGTTCAGCACCATTTGTGACTCCTCAGATACTGAAGCAGTCTGTGTTCAAATGCAACGAGATCTAGAGAATATCCAGGCTTGGGCTGACAAGTGGCAAGTGACATTCACGCCACACAAATGTCAGGCTATGACCATCACCAATAAAAGACAATCTTACCACCACCCCTTGACATTCAATGTTACCATCACTGAATCCCCCACTATCAACATCCTGGGGGTTACCATTGACCAGAAACTGAAATGGACTCACCACATTAACACAGTGGCTACAAGAGCAGGCCAGAAGCTGGGAATACTGCAGTGAGAACTCACCTCCTGACTCCCCAAAGCCTGTCCACCATCTACAAGGCACAAGTCAGGAGTGTGATGGAATACTCCCCACTTGCCTGGATGAGTGCAGCCCCAACAACACTCAAGAAGCTTGACACCATCCAGGACAAAGCAGCCGCTTGATTGGCACCACATCCACAAGTATCCACTCCTTCCACCACCGATGCTCAGTAGCAGCAGTGTGTACTACCTGCAGGATGCTCTGCAGAAATTCACCAACGATCCTCAGGCAGCACCTTCCAAACCCACAGCCACTTCCATCTAGAAGGACAAGGGCAGCAGATTCATGGGAACACCACCCCCTGCAAGTTCCCCTCCAATCCACTCACCTCCCTGACTTGGAAATATATTGCTGTTCCTTCACTGTGACTGCGTCAAAATCATGGAATTCCCTCCCTAAGGGCATTGTGAGTCAATCCACAGCGGGTAGACTGCAGCGGCTCAAGAAGGCAGCTCACCACCACCTTCTCAGGGGCAACTAGGGATGGGCAATAAATTGTGGGCCCAGCCAGTGACACCCACATCCCACAAATGAATAGAAAAAGAATTCCACTAGCACCCTTGTCCATCAGATAGTCATCATTCTCATTTTGAACAATCTCCCTTTCAACACTACTCACTCTCACCAAATAAAAGGTGTACCCACATGAGCCCCAGTCTTGTTCCAGCACCCACCCCCCCAACAACCTGTCACCTCTTATTCTAATATCTTGATGAGTATATTCTCACCACCTCCTGTTCCCACCTAGAAGTGAAGTAATTGGCAATGTTCCCAATTTTCACCCTTCTCTCACCTTCACCTGGTCCATCTCAATACTCCCCTTCCCTTGCTCAGCTTCTCTGTTTCCATTTCATTATAAACCCACCAACTTCCACACACATTATTGTCTATCCCTCCTTATTTGTTGCTTCCTCCACAGATTCCATTCCATTTTCCCAAATTCTCCTGATGATGTGATTTTCCACTGGGCTGTTCCCAATATGGCCTGCTGTCTGCAGAATCAAGCATTCCCTTCCGTTCGCACTGATGAGCCCCTGAGCTGTATCTACCCCAGCTCCTGTTCTTCCACTCCTCACCCCTTCCTGAACAGATTCCCTCTCACCACCCACACCGTACACAATGAATTATCCTCCTTCAGCATTTCCACAAACTTCCAAAAACAAGCATTTCCATCTGAAGAGTCTGATCCCTCAGGCAATCTCAATTTGTGGAATGCATTGCCGGAGAGGGTAGTGGAGTCGGCCTCATTAGGGGTATTTAAGCGGCTATTAGATAGGCATATGGATGATAGTATAAGATAGGGGTGGAGGTTAGATAGACCTTAGGTTTAGGGTAAAAGTTCGGCACAACATTATGGGCTGAAGGGCCCGTACAGTGCTGTACTGTTCTATGTTCTAATCTCCTCAACCGAGCCCCTTCACCTCACATCCTCCTGCCACATTGCTGTGGGTCTGGAGTCACATGTATACCAGGCCAGGTAAGGATGGCAGTTTCTTTCCCTAAAGGACATTTGTGAACCAGATGGGTTTTTATAACGATTGATGAGAGCCACCATCACGAAGACTAGCTTTCATTCCCAGATTTCATTAAATAAATGTTAATGTGGTGGGATTTGAACCTGTCCCCCCACCCTAAGCATTAGCCTGGGCCTCTGGGTTAATTAGTCCAGACACACTCCCATGACCCAATGTTGAGTTTATAGAAGGATTGGGGAGACCAGTCACTGTTCTCTCGTGCTCCCTTGTTTTCTTTCCCAGGAATAACATTATGCTTCTCCTTGCTGACATTGGACTGCTTGATCCTCACAATTTCTTTGAGACGGAGATGAATTCATGGATTGCCTTTGATGAGGCCAGGACCTCAAACAAACAAAAGCTCCAGCATTTAAGCAGCGCCTGGCTTAAGAAGTGGACTCGGAAATTCAAGGTAACAGGTTGGGGAGGCTGTTAATTATCAATTGGTTGTCAGTAGGTCATTGATTTGGCCGTTGATTGTTACATTATTGTGAGACAGGCTTGACTGAGTTGTGGGAAGTGTGCCATTTCCGAAATGTATTTACCAGGAGTAGGCCATTCAGCCCTTCAAGCCTACTCTGCCTGTCAATATGATCACGGCTGATCTGGAGCCCCACTACTATCTATAGGATAGGAGTCCACAGACTGCGGAAAGAGAGGAAATCTACCCTTGTCTCAGATTAAAAATAATAGCTCCTCCTTTTAAGACATGGCCCAAAGTTTAGATTTCCTTACTCTATCCAGTCTCCTCAAAATCTCATGTTTTAACAAAATTGTGTCTCCTTCTAAACTCCATGGGATTCCTGCCCAACCTTCACTTTCCCAGGGACTGGGTCATTGACTTTACTCAAGGCTGCGTTAAATAGTGTTTTGAAAGACAAAGGAGTCGAAGGTTTAGGAGGGGATCAGACATGGTGCAGAGGCAGAATGCTTTCCTCCTGCTCCTCAGTCCTGTGTTCCCGGCCTCCTTTGTACCCACTTGTGTGATCGCATGTAAGTGACCTGCACTGTACACAGTACTCTAGCTGTGGTATAACTAGTATTTTATTCAGTTCTGACATAGTTCTGGGGGAGTAAGCTCAAGGGGCAGAATGGCCTACTCCCATTTTGTACATAGAACATAGAACAGTGCAGCACAGTACAGGCCCTTCGGCCCACGATGTTGTGCCGAAATTTTACTCTAATCCTAAGGTCTATTTAACCTCCACCCCTACCTTATACTATCATCCATATGGCTATCTAATAGCCGCTTAAATGCTCCTAATGAGGCCGACTCCACTACCCTCTCCAGCAATGCATTCCATGCCCCGACCACTCTCTGAGTAAAGAACCTACCTCTGTCATCTCCCCTATATCTACCTCCACTCACTTTAAAACTATGCCCCCTCGTAATAGCTACCTCCACCCTAGGAAAAAGTCTCTGGCTGTCTACTATATCTATACCTCGGATCATTTTGTACACCTCTATCAAGTCACCTCTTATCCTTTGTCGTTCTAAAAAGAAAAGCCCTAGCTCTCTCAACCTTTCCTCGTAAGACCTTCCCTCCATTCCAGGCAACATCCTGGTAAATCTCCTCTGCACCTTTTCCAACGCTTCCACATCTTTCCTGTAAAATTTTGTACACTTATGCAGCCCCCTGCTCTTACAATCTAGGCCTGTGTTAATAAAAGAACATAGTTGATAAACCACTTTATCAGCCTCTCCTGCTACCTTCAGGGATATTGTAGACATTAACCTCAAGGTCCCTCACATCCTCTACACTTCTCTGCCTCCTCCCATTCACTCTGTAATCCTTTGTCTCATTTGACCTACCCAATGCATCAACTCTCACTTCTCTGGGTTGAATTTAATTTGCCACTTGCCTTAAGCCTGAGCAGTATACAGCTACCCTTGTATCCCAGTCCACTTTTCATTTTCACTCCATTAACCTCTCAATAATTGACCTAAACACACATTGACCTGATTTGTTGGACTTAGTCCATGTTTCGACACATGACGCAGACAGAACAATCATTTACATCAGAGTCCCTAAAACTGTTTCCCTATTTGTGGCTATACCCTGAAGCTTCACTGGTTGACCAGGAGACCTCTCACTGCCTGCCATCATCAACCTGTCCGTCCACACGATAAACGAACCTTCCACCAAGTCCTGGGATATTGGAGCTTCTAGCTCAGAGACAGGTTCACTGCCCACTGCACCACAAAACTTGCTGTCACCCTCACCCCCCTCTCTTAGTTACCAGATTAAGAACATTTTGTTCAAACTTACTGAAACCAGCCAGCTCTGGTTTCCTGTAATACATCCACATTGACTGACAGTAATCAATCTGTGTCTTTCTACACAACGGCTCGACTTGACCCTTAGAATGTCTTCAAATAACTTGACCATCACTCTGGTTAGGTGGACCAGCCTGAAGTTATCTGGGCTATTTCTTCTCCCTAGTTTAAGGCCATTTACCTGAGGAAAGATATACCAGCATTGAAGGCAGTTCAGAGAAGGTTCACTTGGCTGATCAAGTGTAGGGAGACGTTGAGTAGGTTGTGTTCTGAGGAAGGGTCACCAGATCCGAAACATTAACTCTGATTTCTCTTCACGGACGCTGCCAGACCAGCTGAGCTTTTTCAGCAATTTCTGTTTTTGTTTTTGAATAGGCTGGGCCTGTCTGTACTCACAGGAGTTTGGAAGAATGAGAGACCACTTTATTGACACACGAGATTCTTAGGGTAGATGTAGAGAGCTTGTTTCCCCTTGTGGGAGAGTCTAGGGCCAGAGGGCATCATCTCAGAGTAAGGATTACCCATTTAACACAGAGATGAGGAGGAATCTTATCTCAAAGGGAGTGAATCTGTGGAATTCTTTATCACAGAAGGCTGTTGAGGCTGTAAGCATCTTTAAGTATATCAAGGCTGAGAGATGGAGTTTTAATCAGGAAGGAAAGCGAGAGTTCTGGGGAAAAGGCAACAAAGTGGAGTTGAGGATGACCAGATCAGCCATGATCTCATTGAGTGGCAGAGCAGACTCGACAACCAAATGCTCCTATGGTCTTACAATGCTGAATGAAGTGGTTGTTAATCCTTTCCTTCCTTCCTCAGGAGCATATCCAAACAGCCTTGAAGTCACTGAAGAAGGGGAAGACATTGAGAGGGACTATACCAGTTCCACGAAATCCCTCCCCCTCTGAGAGCCCTGCAGATTTGGTTTGTATGGGGAACAGAGCAGGCTGCGTCTCGGACTCAATAACCTCTTTGGTTTGGCAGTCAAGTGGTCAGTTTTAACCCCCACTCAATCCCCCCAATCCCAGTGAGATTGGGATTGGGGCTAGGATCTGATTAGGATGTTCAGATTGGGGTGAGGACATTGGGATTCACTGTCTTTGGGGAATGAGGATTGAAACATTTGGTGGGGACTGGAGGAGTCCCAATATGGTTTTTGGGGCACATTACAGGGTTCATTTGGTGACTGCGGAATTGAGGGATAGCTACTTTGGTTCATATGGTTGTAAGGATTGCGGTTCATATGGAGACCAGAGAACTGGAGACAGGTTATGGGGTGCAGCTGTGGGTTTGGGGGTGGGGTTAGGCAGGGTCTGAGAGCTGGTGGGTACGGCTTTGCAGGTTAGATGCTGGGCTTGGGGTCCAGATGGGGATTCGTGGCTGGGTTTGGGGTTCAGATGGGGATTAACAGCTGGGTTTGGGGTTTAGATGAGGATGTGAAACTGGGTTTGGGGTTCAGATGGGGATTTGTGGTTGGGTTTGGGGTTCAGATGGTGTTTAACAGCTGTGTTTGGGGTTCAGATGGGGATTAGAGGCAGGGTTGGGGTTCAGATGGGGTTTAACAGCTGTGTTTGGGGTTCAGATGGGGATTAGAGGCTGGGTTTGGGGTTCAGATGGGGTTTAATGGCTGGGTTTGGGGTTCGGATGGGGTTTAACGGCTGGGATTGGGGTTCAGATGGGGTTTAGCAGCTGTGTTTGGGGTTCAGATGGGGATTAGAGGCTGGGTTTGGGGTTCAGATGGGGTTTAACGGCTGGGATTGGGGCTCAGATGGGGATTAGCAGCTGTGTTTGGGGTTCAGATGGGGTTTAACAGCTGTGTTTGGGGTTCGGATGGGGTTTAACGGCTGGGATTGGGGTTCAGATGGGGATTAGCAGCTGTGTTTGGGGTTCGGATGGGGTTTAACGGCTGGGATTGGGGTTCAGATGGGGATTAGCAGCTGTGTTTGGGGTTCAGATGGGGATTAGCAGCTGTGTTTGGGGTTCAGATGGGGATTAACGGCTGGGTTTGGGGTTCAGATGGGGATTAGAGGCTGGGTTTGGGATTCGGATGGGGATTAGAAGCTGTGTTTGGGGTTCAGATGGGGATTAGAGGCTGGGTTTGGGGTTCAGATGGGGTTTAACGGCTGGGATTGGGGCTCAGATGGGGATTAGCAGCTGTGTTTGGGGTTCAGATGGGGTTTAACAGCTGTGTTTGGGGTTCGGATGGGGTTTAACGGCTGGGATTGGGGTTCAGATGGGGATTAGCAGCTGTGTTTGGGGTTCAGATGGGGATTAGCAGCTATGTTTGGGGTTCAGATGGGGATTAGCAGCTGTGTTTGGGGTTCAGATGGGGATTAGCAGCTGTGTTTGGGGTTCAGATGGGGATTAACGGCTGGGTTTGGGGTTCAGATGGGGATTAGAGGCTGGGTTTGGGGTTCGGATGGGGATTAGAAGCTGGGTTTGGGGTTCGGATGGGGTTTAACGGCTGGGTTTGGGGTTCGGATGGGGTTTAACGGC